CAGAGCTATTAGTCAAAGGGTGGCATTATAAATTAAGAACATTTTGTCAAGTCCATCTTTTGGCATACGGCACCCAGAACAAACTCACTTTACATTACACACCACAGCACAATATTAAAGACAGTTTCCACCATTCACAAAATCCATGCACATGCACAGAAAAGCCTTTGAAGCATCACCTTTAGATAGCAGATTAACAGCCCAAACTGCGCCACAAGACTGCATCTTAAAGTTCCCTTTGATCAGTTATTGAGCTCGGCTCCTGATGTTAAATCTTCATTTTTAGTAAGCAGATTAGAAAGGAAGAGATTAATTGAGAAAATGAAATGCAGAAAAGAGTGAATGCCAAACAGAAGTTTAGAATTCTAAAAACATAATGCATTTAAATTCCTGCCCAGTTTCATAGAAACGAACATCTGAGAATCTAGATAAAAAGAACAATAGGAAAGTGATTTAAATTACAGCACACTTCATTTTTCCTAAAAATGTCTGGATGATGATATTCTTTCCTAAAATTATGAAAATTAGTATGAAGAGAAGGTAAAAACTAATGGAGAGGTTCTAAAATTTCTTCATTCTTTCCTGGTGATTACAGAATTCTCCTAATTATGTTATATACTTTATTTACATTTAATTAAGAAAAATATTTTTACACGTCTAACTCTCCCATCAGTCAACAAGTTTCTTAAGAACATTCAATCAGCAAGTATTTATTGAACACCTACTATGTATCAGGTACCATGTCACGTACACAAAAGAATAGAGTAATGACAAATGAAACAGTTTCAGAGCCATGCCTTACTCATCTTTGTATCTCCAGTGAGTAGGATGGGGGGAACTCCAATGATGACTAAAATATAATTTATCATTTATTTTAACAATCAGAGCTGATTTGTATCTCAATATGACATAAGACTTGAATAGAAAAAAATCTGTAGTACCAATTTTGAACTTCTCTAATACGTGGTCCAGAAATACAAATCTGTCTTCAAATCATGTGTTTGCCATTGTAAGTACACATCAAAGAGAAGCAAGTTCAGACAGAGTACCTTGTCTGAGAATAGTTACACTGGGACACCAGAGAGTTTACTCTTCTGAGACTTCTCATTTTAAGTCTGCTTCCTTTTAAACTCTTGTTAATTAGTTTAACAATTAGAATGACAATTTATCAAAGTTACTGTCAAAGATAACAGAATTTTTAAAAAGTATCTGTGCTATCTGTGCTATGATTCAAATAGCAGCAGGCTAACAATGACACCTATTCACAATCTTAAAGTTTAATCCTGGTAGTCTGTTTAAATTGATAGTCCTTTAAAAAGAATCAGCTAGGGCAGCACCGGTGGCTCAGCGGTTTAGCGCCGCCTTCAGCCCAGGGTGTGATCCTGGAGACCTGGGATCGAGTCTCACATCGGGCTCCCTGCATGGAGCCTGCTTGTCCCTCTGTCTGTGTCTCTGCTTCTCTCTTTCCTCTCTGTGTATTCTCATGAATAAATAAATAAAATCTTTGGGGAAAAAAAATAAAAATAAAAAGAATCATCTATAGTTAAAATTCCCTTCTCATACAGGGTTCTGTTAAGTAATGCAATTTCCACTTCTGTTTTGTTTGCTGACTTGGCTTCAATGCAATATTACTAACCAAAAGAAATCTCGAAGAACAAATCTACTCAAGACATTTCCTATATAGCAATACGTCTAACAACAGTGACAACAAAAAATTCTTTTCCTGTCAAAGTCAAGCAATGAGGCATTAGTTAAAAGCTGAAACTCTGCCTGGTTTTGAATCTCAGCTCTTCCATTTCTAGTATAACCTCTTTGTGCCTGCTTCCCCACATGTAAAATGGTGGTAAGAAGAGAATCTTCTTCTTCTTCTTGTATCTCATATTAAGGTTATGATTAGGATTACATTTAAAGTGCTGAGAATAGGGCAGCCCGGGTGGCTCAGCGGTTTAGCACTGCCTTGAGCCCAGGGCGTGATCCTGGAGTCCCGAGATCGAGTCCCACATCAGCCTGTCTGCATGGAGCCTGCTTCTCCCTCTGCCTACGTCTCTGCCTCTCTTTCTCTGTGTCTCTCATGAATAAATGAATAAAATCTTAAAAAAAAATAAAGTGCTAAGAATAATAAGAGTCTACATTAATATATAGGCCCAAAAATCTCATCCAAACCCTTAGATGTAAGACATTTTGAGCAGTACCACAAAATCAATAAATACACGAATATTTCTGTAGTGAAACAAACTAACATTTACACTAAGTGTGATAAAGATTATAAATAGCTTCACTTCACGTTACATTTTTATAGCCTAATTAATGAGTTGTGGCACATTATGGGGAAAAAAACCCCCAAACCTAAATGCTTGGTTTTCAGAGTTTTTCAGATTTCTAAATGGCAGATAAGAGATTGTAAACTTGGGTTTTTATTACTATCAGAATTAATACTAGCCTTACATGATCCAGCGTCTGCCTTTGAGAAGCTCATGTTATGGCTATTTATACGATAAGCCTAACTAAAACCTGGATTAGTAGATAAAATTAGAAAGATCAAGACACTGGCAGGAATAATAGTAGATAGAGCTGAGGATAAGGATACCATATAGGCCAATGAGTCAATGTTATAAAGAAGAGATAGGCACAAGGAAGGCATTAAAATCTGACATCTTTAAATTGGAGTATCACTCTCGCTTCAGGGAACAACTGTTCTCTTATAGAAGCCCCTTGATTCCATCTGTTAAGAAGTGCCTTCTTCTCTACCTACTGAGAAAGGGTTCAGCTGAGGTGAGAGGCTGCAGACTGCCTCAGAGTCATACTCTATCTTCTCTCCCACGAGTGTCCCAGAAAATCCTGCGTTTACTTGGCTGGGGTATATGAAGTGAAATAGTAATACTTACTAATAATTAATACTTCTGTCATTCCATTTCCCACTTTCTAAGATACTAGAACATCTGAGGATTCATTGCTTTTCCTGTTTATCAACTCCTGACTCAAAAGCCCCTGATTTTGCTCTTTTTTGCTGTTTGTTTTAGGGAGGACTTCTTCAGCCTTGCTCTTCTCCTAATACATAATCTCAGGGAAATTCATTTGATTTTTTTTCTCCTCTACACTTTCAAAAGGGCACATAGAGCACAGAAGAAAAGCACAAGTTTGTAAAACATAGTTAAAGAATTTAGATTTAAAAATCTGTGCATTTCTAACTTGTTTGCTTAAGGTAATCTGCTAAACCCTGATTGACAAGTCATAGTGATTTAAAAATGCACTTTCAGAGAGTCAACCAAGGTCTAAACAGGCCAACAAATTTGTCTTAGAATAGAAAGCCAGTGAACAAGACCAGGAAGAACACTGTCAAAATTTAACTTGTTATGCTCAAAACAGACACTAGAGTTGACCAATAAGCAACTTAATTCTATTTTCTCTTGTAGATATGGCACAGAGAATGCTGTCACATGAAAACACCTATCTAAAAGTATAAAAATAGGGCAGCCCCGGTGGTGCAGCGGTTTAGCGCCGCCTGCAGCCCGGGGTGTGATCCTGGAGACCCGGGATCGAGTCCCACATCGGGCTTCCCGCATGGAGCCTGCTTCTCCCTCTGCCTGTGTCTCTGCCTCTCTCTTCGCTCTCTCTCTGAATGAATAAGTAAATCTTTAAAAAATAAATAAATAAATAAAAGTATAAAAATATAGCAAAAGTTCCTCTATCCCTAACTCCTTTGAGAGGTAAAAATGCAGAGTATGTAAACCTTTGTATCAAATTCTTGGTTTAAAATACCAGCTGAGACAACAACTACATGAACAAATGTTTATGAAGCTCTTAAAAAATGAATGCTCTTAACAGTAAGGATGGTCATTCAATCTCCAGATGTTGTCACTTCAACTAAAGGGAAAGTTCAAAGCCGTTATTTTGTTAATAACAGACGGAAGGGAAGATAATGGTTTACTGCCTTAGCTCAAACCTTATCTTGATTGAAATACATAAAATATTTGTCAACAACATGGAGTTTGGTTTATCAAAGAATAAGTAGGGAATTTAAATATTCATAATGGAGTCACCAAAAAGAATAAATCTCTTTCAATCATAATCTTATACATTATACACAAAAAGTCTGAAGACTTTTCATCTCCTAGTTTACTAGAAACTTCAAATTTTCAGAGACTTCTTTGATTCTTTCTTCTTTATGTTTGACATACTATCAGTTACTTTAAAATAAATTCCCTTGACTTATACTTTTTTCTCTAATCTCAATAATAATGCCTCACCTCACCAGCCTAGATTACAAAAGGTTCCTAACTAGTGCAGTTATGTAATACAATCCATCAACCCCTTAGTCTGCCTACTTATGTCTATTTTTCACTTCTTATCTATATGAATCATGTAGCTCAGTTAAGTCAAGCTCCTCTGTCATTTCTATTTACATTAGGAAATGCCCCTCTGGTTCTTCCATGTCCATCCAAATCCTTGTAATCTGAGTCCAGTGCAAGTCCTCTCTCTCCTGTAATATTTCTCCAAACCAAATTTTATCAGTTCTGTTTCCTTAGCTTTCGTTGACATATGACCTAGCTCTACGTTTATATATTTTTCTGCTGTTTTGCTATTCTTCCTCATATATCCAACTACATGGTAGACCTTTTGAAGACAGGATCCAAGTCCTTTACTCCCTTCGGCCATTCCTAATGTGCCTACCATATAATATGTATTTTGTTAGAATTCTTTATTAGAAAGGAAAAAACACTAATTCCATCCTGCTGTATATTACCCAGGTATATTTCCTATATTTCCTGTATTATTAAAAACGAAATTGGGACTTGATCCAAGGACTGACCAAATTTAAGCCGTGGTTTTTGGTGAACATGCCCATTTACACGAAAAGCTTGATCTGCCTGAAGGAAAAACAGCTTAAATTTATCTAACAAAGTTCCTTATTTAGGCCCAGTCATACTTTTGACTTTTCTGGAGGGTGAGGGGGGATGCTCTCACTTTAATTTTAAAAAAGTCTTGATTTCTCAACTCACCTATTACATGGACAGACACAAAGGCCACAGCACTTGTTGAGTTCCGTTAAAGTCTTCTCTGCCTCTCTCATGTCTTTATTTATTTGGTCCATGCCTTCTTCTATGCGGTTTAGTTGCTCTGAGAATAAGTTGTTGAAGTTACACTCTGTGTTATATTCACAGTGCCAACCAGAAGACACTATTATTATGAAACAGCAAAAACTTCAACTTTGAATCTACTGGTAATCCATCCCAGTGACTGTATCAGGGACCAGAATGTACTACATACTGTTCAACATGAAAACAATCTTTCACAAATTGATCCTGAGGCACTTGGCTTCTTATTGTGGGAAGATTTGTTCTAAAGAAATCTGCATAATAGGAGCATGTGAGGGTTTGTTTAGAGATCGCCCTTGCAACCAAATTAAGTGTACTTTGACCAGACAGGATCCCCAGCATTTCTCTCTCTGAATAAGTACAAAACTTGAAAGCTATCATAAATTTAATAAAACCTAGGCCAGGGGATCCCTGGGTGGCTCAGCAGTTTAGCACCTGCCTTTGGCCTAAGGCGCAATCCTGGAGTCCTGGGATCGAGTCCCATGTTGGGCTCCTGGCATGGAGTCTGCTTCTCCCTCCTCCTGTGTCTCTGCCTCTCTCTCTCTCTCTCTCTCTCTCTCTCTCTCTCTCTCTCTCTCATCAATCAATCAATCAATCTTAAAAAAAAAAAAAAAAAACCTAGGCCAGATTGCTCAGGGCCAATTCAAATGGAATGCTTCCAAGCTCACCTGAATCTAAACCTATTTAAAGACTTAACTTGATTTCTGAAAATGATGCAAGAATATCATAGTATCTAATATACATATGACAAATACACATAGTAAGTCCTGCTACCTGACAAATACTTGGTATTCAATTGGGCATTGTTGTCCCCACCTCAAATAGGTAATGAACATGATATAATTCAAATCAGAAAAAAAAAAAAAAAAGTAAACATATCACTCTTCTCTGATATAGGAAGGGAATTTCAAGGCTTAATTTTAGACATGGCTGATTTGAAAGGATTTTCTGGCGTCATTAGTCAAGAGTTTCTGCCAATGACTGCAACTCACCCCGCATCCAGTGTGTGACTCATCATCCAGCATAGTGATAGTCTTGATTCCTGCATCCTGAGACTAAAAGAAGGGGAAAAAAGCTGATAGCACTATAAAATAAAATAAAAGCAACAGAAACAAAGCCTACAAGGCCTAATAGCAAGAGAGAATCATTTAGAAACCTAAATTCTCAGAGGAACAGAGAAAACTACTATTCCAAAGCAATCAATATACTTCAAAATATTACCCCCCCACACATATAATTAAGTCACAAATTCATGGTGAATTGATCTTCCCCATCATATTCTAGTAGCGTAATGGGAAAAACAGAAAAGGCCCATCAGTGCATGGTTCGACAATTTCAGCAATTACTGGTTTCAAATAATAAAGCATACTGATACCATATACTTCTGATTCAACACAAATTCCAGCTTGTGCTATCAAGATCCTGCTTATACAACTTCTGTACTTAATGATTAGACACTTTCTTACCTCAATGGCTAAACCCAGGATTCTCCTTGTACTTTCCAGAGACTAGAGAAAAATACAGGGTTTTAGTATTCTAAAATATGTAGCCAAAAAAAAAAAAAATTTGATCATATAGTTATGCTGCTACTCTATTTTAAAATAGTGTCAGTCCAGCCATCCCTCCCCACCTTTAAAACAAACAAAGTTGATCACTATAATTTTAGTTATTTTCTTCCTACCAGTTGTTCCTTAAGAGAAAATTTGGAGGGTAAAGTTAACATTATTTATAAAAGTTTAATGTAAGCAGAAATCTACATATATTAGACAGATGTTTCCAATTTCTCAAATCTAGAGTTATCTTTGTTGTAAGTAGCTGTTAAACAATGATTTAAAAAAATCATACAAGCTTCTTTCACTTATTTAGCTTTTGGTGAGCTGAAAAACTAAGGGGCCAGCAATAGCACTCTGAGGTAAATGCATTCTTGGACACACAGGGACGGGAGGGATGCCATAATGGACATCTAAGAAGGTCCTCTCATCCTTCCACTGTGAAACTGAAAGAGAATTACTTATTCCAAGTAAAACGTTTACCTCATCAGTAACCTGGTGGGCTCTCAGCTGAATTTCTTCTGGTGACAGATTATCCATGATGAATTAAAACTTTTGATAAGCAAAGACACTGAAACGTGGATATTCTGTAAAAAATAAGGATACAAAAGAGTTTGAACAAAGAATGTGCATTATGAATTCTGGATACTTATCTGGAAAACAGGATAAAAGAGCCTATCTATATCTTTAACTAGCTAGCTATCACAGGTGAAGAAATTATGACCAAGAAAGGATAAATGGACAGTTAAATGCTAGTTAGTACCAGAAGTGATCCAAAACTCAGGTTTCAGGACTTCTAGTGAAGTGCTGTTTCAAAGAGAAAGTAATCTCTCTTCTTTGAGGAGCACATACTAGAAGGCAAGCTTTAAGAGTTAGGTAGTATTTCATTAATAAAGTAACACAATTCAAACTCAGTGCCTGAAGAACACAGGAAACATTCTAGACATGTGCCAGGTGTCCAAGGCTACTCATTGGAGAAAATGAAATATTTTCATTCTTAACAAGAAAAGGGTAATGTTGACACAAAACTCAGAAAAAACCTGAAATTTTTCATAGTGGATTTTCCTTTTCCAATTATAGTTTGTTGTTTTAGTGAAGTCCCTAAGAAACTAAATTATTATTCTCCCATATATAGTAACTCAGTAATTCATAACTCAGAGAAGATTCAGACATTCAGATAAAATACAACACATTTAGAAGGTGTTATTCAGTACTATGATTGTGTATTACTTTTTGAAAAGTCATATGGAGGGGCACCTGGGTGGCTCAGTGTTTGAGCGTCTGCCTTTGGCTCAGGGCATGATCCTGGAATCGAGTCTCACATCAGGCTCCCTGCATGGAGCCTGCTTCTCCCTCTGCCTATGTCTCTGCCTCTCTCTCTCTCTCTCTCTCTCTCTCTCTCTCTCTCTCTCTCTCTGTGACTATCATAAATAAATAAATTTTAAAAAAAAAGATTTTGAACATTGATTAAAGTTATTTAATGCTCATGAAAAAAGTTATTAATTACTATTGTTAATAATAAAAAGTATTACTACAAAAAGTTGCAAATTTAATTTCATATCTTGCTTGCCATTGTATGACTCTGGCAAAAGGTTGATATACTAAGATATTAAATTAAGATATTAAGGTCTTTTTTTTTAAGATTTTATTTATTTATTCATGAGAGACACAGAAAGAGAGAGAGAGAGAGAGAGAGAGAGAGAGAGAGAGAGAGAGAGGCAGAGACACAGGCAGAGGGAGAAGCAGGCTCCACGCAGGGAGCCTGACTTGGGACTCGATCCCAGGACTCCAGGATCACGCTCTGGGCAGGCGCTAAACCTCTGAGCCACCCAGGGATCTCCATAAAGGTCTTTCCTTAATTATAAATTGATCATTCATTAGATAGAAGCATAAATAGAACCACATGCCTTACTTTGCTAATCTTTGAGCCATTAGGTTTATCACAGATCTGTTCATGCTATGGTTTCTCTTGTTAATCTTTCATAGTTACAATTATGAAAAGTTGTTTTTGTAACCTCTTACCTGTCCACCTTTTCTCTCTGTAATATTCCAGGTAACTTTATGCTTCTCCATTACTTTCAGAGCCCCAACAAGATACCTTTCAAAGCTTGCCCTTCTCAGAATGCTCTACTTGTCTATACCTCCTCAATGCCCAAAAGAGCAGAAAGTGATGAGAAAGGTAATACATGCTAATTACACAGTCCCTGGAAGTGACACCCACAGTCAGGTTTTCCAATATGCCATCCTGTGGGTAGGAAGACATTCTGGGCATAAGGATGCCCAGATCTCTCAAACTGTATAATTTTGTAATTCTACTCCTGACCTGATTGCTGCCAAGTACATATCAGTATTTGCCATCTTCCTATCCTAGTGAAAATGAGCAAAACTCCATATAGGTTCAGAGAGAGACTTGAATGTAAAACTGACCTCTGTCAAACTAGAAGATTCCAAGGGTTTTACCTTCTAATTATAAAAAAAAGAACAGAAAAGAAAAAAAGGCAGATACAGCTGGGAGGTGAATATGAAGAATCAGTCCTGGCATGGCAATAGGTTCATTTTTAGGGACACACCCATTGGTAAACTCCAAGTGCTTCCTAGTACTTCCTTTTTTTCTCTCCTGAAGGGCACACAAGACAAAAAAACAGATTTATGTAAAGTTCTCCCATGTTTGACAAGCTGATGTCAGGAAACAGCTGCCTAAGACCTCTACTCTGGATTCTTGAGGGTATTCAAAACACGGTTAGAGTACATGGGAATAAGAAAAACAAAGCTGAATTGTAAGGGGGAAGGACAAAGCAACAATACTCCTCAAGCTCTTATTCGCCTTTACTAAACTGCTCGAAAGTATCAGGCAGAGTGCAACTCAGAATTAGCTATATAGCTTTACTCATATTTATTATTATCTCCAGAAGTTTTTCTTATGAAGTCAGGAAAAGATTATCCAGAATGTTGTAGTAAAGAGAGTTAGAGGTGGGAGAGGGGAAGGAAAAACGAAACATCATTTGACATACATATCCCATTAAACTTACTGTTCTTAGATATAACCTAATAGATTAAATAAATATGTGTCATTTTTTCATGCTCCCAGAACTTAAAATACCATGCTAATTTTTTAGCATAGTATATGCTTCCTTTGAGAGGTAACTGCAAGATTTCCCTCAATGCTTTTATAACATATCTTTTACTATGGTTCATTTGGGCTTTCTAGAAGCCTCCAAGTTTATCTTAACTTCTTTTTATAAACTCTGGGGGCAGTGGGGAAGAAGAAAGGTTCACTGAGTGCTTACTATGTGTCATATATGGTACTAAGTACTTATATATGTCATTATCTTTATTATATCACTTTATACTTGGGGAAACTAAGGCTCAAGTAATTTGCTCAAGGTGTCTGAGTCAGTAAAGAGCAGATTTTTTTTTTTTTAATTTTTTATTTATTTATTTATGATAGTCACAGAGAGAGAGAGAGAGGCAGAGACATAGGCAGAGGGAGAAGCAGGCTCCATGCACCGGGAGCCCGATGTGGGATTTGATCCCGGGTCTCCAGGATCGCGCCCTGGGCCAAAGGCAGGCGCCAAACCGCTGCGCCACCCAGGGATCCCCAGTAAAGAGCAGATTTATTACTCACGTCTAGATCTTCTGGAACCAAAGATAACTCATGGTTTAGAAACTGGTCTCACTGTTGGATGCATCTTCTCTTAACAAATACCAGATGATATAAGAAAAGCTGAAAATCTGAAAATAGACTAAGCATCCTGACAGCTCAATTCAAAATTTAAGATGCCCCCCCTTTTTAAAGATTTATTTATTTATTTTAGTGTGGGAGGGCAGAGGAAAAGAGAATCTCAAGAAGACTCCCACTGAGCACAGAGCTGGACATGGGGCTCAATCTCACAACCCTGACATCATGACCTGAGCTAAAATCGAAAGTCAGACACCTAATCAACTGAATCACCTGGGTGCCCCAAAGATGCCTTTTATAATAAAAACATAAAAACTTCTCAACAGATTCAAAGACAGTTAAATTAAAATTAAAGGAAGAACTGGGGTGACCTGGCTGTCTCAGTCAGTACAACATGCAATTCCTGATCTTGGGGTCATGAGTTTGAGCCCCACATTGGGAGAAGAGAATACTTAAAAATAAAATCCTACAAAAAAAAATTAAAGGAAGAACTACAAGGACAAGAGTAATCATGGTTTTCAGCTGCTTTAAAATAATTTAGGGGCAGCCCCAGGGGCGCAGTGGTTTAGTGCTGCCTGCAGCCCAGGGCGTGATCCTGGAGACCTGGGATCGAGTCCCACGTCAGGTTCCGTGCATGGAGCCTGCTTCTCCCTCTGCCTCTCTCTCTCTCTCTCTGTGTTTCTCATGAATAAATAGATAAAATTTTTTTAAAAAAATTTAGAATCTGATATTATTTAGGGGTCCCTGGCTGGCTCAGTCTGTAGAGCACATAACTCTTGATCTTGGGGTTATGAGTTCAAGTCCGATGTTGGGTATAGAGATTACTTAAATAAACTCAAAAATATGACAAAAAATTGCTTTCCTAGGCAATGAAGCAAATAAATAATTTTTTAAAAGAATTATCATGTAGAATCTAAAATTATCTAAATTTAGAAAATGAAACTAATACTACTGGGAAGAAGGAATGCAAAGAAAAAGGTCTTAGAACTGAATCAACAAGCAATCCATGTCTTCCCTGATAAAAATGGAGAGCTACATAAGAAGTAATGAAAGAAACAGCACTTTAAATCACCATCCGGGGGACGCTTAGGTGGCTCAGCGGTTGAGTGTTTGCCTTTTGCTCAGTGTGTGATCCCAGGTCCAGGATCGAGTCCCACATCAGGCTCCCTGTGAGGAGCCTGCTTCTCCCTCTGTCTATGTCTCTGCCTCTCTCTCTCATGAATGAATGAATAAATATTTAAAAAAAAAATAAAAATAAATCTCCATGAATTCCAGTGTCCTGCCTAGATCAATATAGGAGTGACTTTTTTTTTTAAAAGATTTTATTCATTTATTCATGAGAGACACAGAGAGTCAGAGACACAGGCAGAGGGAGAAGCAGGCCTCCATGCAGGGAGCCTGACGCTGGACTCGATCCCGGGACTCCAGGATCACACCCTGGGCCAAAGGCAGGCACTAAACCGCTGAGCCACCCAGGGATCCCGTATAGGAATGATTTTATAAAAATAACTCATTTTATATGGGAAAGCAAAGATTTTGCATAAAATATTTTATTAAGTTAGCTTCGTGACTTATTCTTTCTCATAAAATTAATCCCAATGTAAATTGCTCTACAAGTTACACCCATACTGTTTATTACTGTATGATAAAAATGTATGGTTCTCTTTGGTATATTTTGATTAGACTTTCATGGTAATCATTATATTGACAGCAAGTGGGAATTTCTGTTCATAGCAGGCTATCATAGTGGTAAGTAGCAAGAACTCCAGCGTTCAAATTCTGACCCCAAAATGTATTGGTTGTATGACCTCAGGCAAGCTAGCTAAACCCACTACAACTCAGTTTCTACATTTGTAAAATAGAGATAAGAGACCTTTTATGAGGATTAAAAAAAGATGATCCATACAA